TTAGATTCATAAACAAAGTTAATTAAATTGAACATTATTATTTGTTCCAAAAATAAGCTATCTTAGAATCCCATTTAAAATAGTAAAGCCTCATTATTTACCCACTTATCCATTGAACAACTTTATAATTGACACTAGAGAATCTAAAATATTAAACACGAAACATTCAGCGTTCGCGAAGCTTCATTAAAACTGGATCGTCTAATAGCTCTTAAGCGATGAGTGCCGGCATTCATAGTTCAATTTGCTGAAGATTTGCAGGCGGTATTTAATATGTTTCAGATTTTGCATCAATGTTCCATTGCTTTCATTTGCAAAATGTAAAAAAAAAAATGTCGTTAAATCGAAATATTTTGTGTCTTAAATATAATTAATAATTTAAAAATGCTACTGTTAAATACATTTTTTGGCCTGCAGTGGATATCCTGCAATTGTCATTTGGCTAAAACGAACGAACGAACGAACTGCCTGCAATGGAGTAAAAACATTATAAAGACATTATCAGTCAGAGTTTAAAATTACATCAAGGCAGTTGATTTGTTGAGTTTACATTTTTGGTGTCAAAGCTGAATTCATAAGATTTTTTTAACACTGTCATATTTCATTAATTTTTTTTTTCTACCTTATCATTTAAAACGTGTATAAGGTACAGCGTACAGCTTAGTTGAATTTTCTTTCACATTCAGCTCAAATACTTTTCAACAAATCCAAACTATTCGACCCATCTTTAATCACAAAAGCCGACCTAAAAATGTATACAATGGGAAAACATTTCCCACCCCACAATATCTCCGCGTGACGTGTAAAAAGGACAATCTGCATCGCTGTTGAAATTTAATCAAAACAACAATAGGGTTTGTCCGTCCCTGCGTTATTCTGCGCGGTCCACTCCGTATATCTTGTGTCGGTTTTTGGGATATTGATGGGCAGAAATTAAAATTCCTATTGTCAATTTTTTAACAAGTGACTGGCGGGAAAAACGCTGGGTCATTGTTTTTTCGGAAAATTACACTAGGTGGCACAGAAATGGTGTCAGTTTGGTATGTTGATACGAACATGCTCACATTTACTTACATACTTATTTTTACAAATAGCTGCAACCATTCCATTGCAGATCCAATGTATCAATCGATCGATGTAAAAGGTATCGATCATGCTTTATCAAAAATCTCCTATAATGTTGTTTAAGGTGCAAAGTTTGATTTGATTTTTTTCCTTTTTAGTAACCTGTCAGGTGTCTCTATTCAAAATTATAAGACAGTAGAACATTTAACACACTTACAAAGTTGCAGTAATACGTATAACCAATAAATGTATTTCTGAGACTTCCCTGGTGCGAAAATATGAATAAAGGTGTTCCAAATTTTGTGCCACAGAGTGTAAATATCCAACCTTTACAACCATCTGTCAAGTCATGCGTGTGTATGATGTGAGTGCTCATATTTTTTAACTAAACAAAGCTCAATTCAACTCCGTTTGACTTTTAACGTTGATGATAAATTAATGGATTTTGAAAAGTGATAAAACAATAGAAGAACTTACGATATTATGTTGAAAAAAATAAGTTCTGTAATGTACTTATTAAGACGATATTTTCATATAATTAACCTAAAATATTGGCATAAATCGATATTACTTTTTGTGTCAAAAAATATTCATTCTTTATTACACTGCTTCATTTCTGCCAAGCCAGAATAAGGCTTCTAGCAAAGAGGCTTTCGTCCAACGACCCTTTAGGGGCCAAAGTTCCGCTGGACAAATATTTTTGAAGTTTTTCAACTATGTTTGTACTCCTGCGCCACTTGAGTTGAGTTTGAGAGACATTTTTATTCGGTTCTTTGGTTTGATACAAATTGGTACAGGTAATTTTTGTTTCAGAAACTTGTTTGTGAAATGATTTTCTTTTGTTTCTTGTTATTGTTTCAATGAGTGGTTTGTGTAAAATAATGATTTGAGGTAACTTAATAGTTTTTATTTTTTTAAGCCTTCCTCTTATGCCTAAATTAGAAATATGTGTAACTTAACCCATTTTCAACCTTTCAAACATTATTTTCGCCTTGAAGAAATGTTTGGCATTGCAAAACCGTAAATAGAACCTTAATATAGCTGGATGTGCCGCCACATTACCTTATCCTTCGTAACTTGTAAAACCCTTTAAATTGTGGAAGCGTGCTGGGCCCATAACCTGATGAAATTAAACAAAGCTTAATATGAAGACTTTATATTTTAGAGTAAAATATATGAGAACATTTTGTCAACGCGACAAGGACGAGAGTGCCCATAGACAATATTAGTAAGAAGTTTCTCTTATGCGTCCATAAATCCAACAATTAAAAATAATGTTTTATTTCATTGATGATTAATTTTTAATCAGAAGCAGGGTACTCATCTAGCCGTGTAGCATGTAATGTATCAGATACTGTATCAAGTGAGTACATAGGCACGAGCCCGCTGCAAACTGCTCGCGCGTGGTTCGCAGGGAGATCGTCGTAACGACCCGCCGAGTGGCGGTATCACTGCGAGCACAAAGGCGGCTCGCAGTAGGATCCAGGAGCTCGCAGCCAGATACGCGATGACCGTGGACGAGCCGTACTCACTTGAAGGTTGGTTACGTTACATGCTACGTTACATGCTATATGGCAGGTGAGTACCCTGCCTGACACTTTTGTAATTTACCACATAGGTAAAGTTCGACAATAATCCATTTAATCTCCAATCAAATCGAATATATCAGAATCAAACGGGACATCGCAAAAGCCCAACTCCCGGGCACAGGTGTACCTGTTCCCGACAGATCCCGGTCCCGAACAACTTTTTATTCCATTATCCCGAGCGAACTTCAACAAAAGTAGTCGACAACTTGGAATTGTAAATCATCTGTCTTTGTATACTTACTCACGATAAGTGAGTGATTGACTGTTTGTCGAACTCGAAACATTCGGAGAACGTTGGTTAAACTAAGCATGTGTCAGAAACACAATTCTTGTAATGGTGGGTTGGGAATGGCGAAGACAAATATTTTGAAAATCGGTTTATACGGAATATCCGTATTTTGACGATTTCGATGGCAAATATTTAGTAATATGTACATGAAAGGTTAGTGATTTCGTTGGCAAAACCATTTAGAGGTCAGAAATAGTCCACAGACGTAAATCACTTGGTGTGAAAATTAGTTCGCTTTTTTATTTGCAACGTCATTTAAGCTCAAATGATTTTGATAAGGGCAGGGCTCCTACTAGGTGGACCGACGATCTGGTGAAGGTCGCGGGAGGTGCCTGGATGCGGGCGGCGCAGGATCGGCCTTTGTGGAAATCATTATGGGAGGCATTAGCTTAGCAGTGAACGTCACTCGGCTGAAACGAACGAACGATTTTGCCAAATCATCCAAAAAGTCATTCGATCATTGCGTCAAAACTATTTCTTTCCTCCTATTTCCTTTCCAATTTCAAATCGATCACTCCAATAAAAGTAGTCAGGAGTCGTCAACTCGTAATTGCAAATGCGGTCGGAGGTCGACCCTGATTTATCGCGGCTGGTATCGGATCATCCTTTGATCGCGACAACTATTAATAACTTCACAAATTAGATATTATTATAAATAATCAACACCAAAGATAACTTTATGCATTTATTGCTAGAGACAAAGGCGTCCAAATTAGTTGTTTCCTTTTTATTTATGTGGTTACTAAAGCTTACCACAGACTTAAGTTCTATTCAGCTCAAATACATTATAATTGGTTAAGCCAAAAAAATGTTCCTCATTGCGTTAAAACTATTTCTTTTACAAACTACAGCATTCCCGTCTTATTATCTTTCCAATTTCAAAAGTAGTCAGGAGTTGTCAACTCGGAATTGCAAATGCGGTCGGAGGTCGACCCTGATTTGTCACGGCTGGTATCGAATCACCCGTTGATCGTAGACGCGTGATATATCACCGAGGGATATAAGTTCCGGCGACGCCACTTATTAGCGCGAAGCGTGCACACGGGGTGCTTTTTGATTGATTCTTTTTTGAGATTTTCCATAGCTGTAAATTTTTCGGTAGACGATTTTCAGAATTCGGAAAAGTATCATCACTAAGCATTTCCAATAAATAAATTGACAATAGTTCATGAATACCTGATAGAACAACATTATGAGGATAAAGACGCCTTTAGGTAAAATTAGTAACATTATTGATTCACACTTTCCAACTTTCCGTTAATACCTACCATTGCTGAGGTGGTGTATGCACCCCACTACTTTTAAAATTAAATGTCAATCACTCTTGTCACCAGAAAGCTTTCCGTTTCAAACGCTTCAGTAAAAAAAAATCTTATTATCAATTTAAAAACCACAAAGAGCATGAAAATAGCAAGGTACCTACCTACTATTTTTATCTTTTAGAAAAAGCAAAATGAAGGCACTTTGTTGGAGACCTATTTATTTAGTTTTAATATTAATTCAATATTATCTATTAGTAGCTACTAACGCCTACCTAAATTTACATAGCAACGTTTTTATATTGTCACACCTATGTATCTTCCACATATTCCACTAATCTGTCACATTATTACACACGTACTGATTGTAACTGGTCTACGAGTTTTTATTTTTTATTCCTGAATCCTGTAAAAATCAGTCAAGATTTACAACATGGTCCAGATCGAGCGGATTTTAAGTGAAGACTAGCACTGAGGAATAAGTGAAATAAGTAGGTAATACCTATCTCTGCGGCAACCTGAGGAGCACCCAGCATCGTGGAGCGAGAGGTTATAATACAACCGCAAGTTATTGGATGGATAATCGCCTTCAATCAATGCAAGGACTAAATACAGTGTTAATCAGTGGTATTTCATTGTTATTCACCCAACACTCAGGTATTATTTAATTAATTAAGTGACCAGATAGTTAAAATCAGGTTAGTACCACATTGTTTCATAGTGCGTCATAAATAGGGAATAAAACACAGTTATTTCATTAAATAAACCTAGATATTAATTAATTTAAACGTAAAATCAATAAGTAAATAAATTAAAAACTGTACAATCATTAAAAACCGTAAATTAAACTTAAATTATTAGGGATAATATTGTAACTAACTAAGCACATAAGTAAAGCAATAATCAAGTGTATTTACAATATTTACAACATTATCTAGACCTAAATTAATCCCTATTATTGTGTAAATTCCAGGTCTGCGACACCTGTCTTCCAATATGACCGATAAGGATCTAAGAAAGCGCAGAGGCAGTTATAAAGGGAGATTAACGGTATTTGGTAACTTTTTATCCTCTTTAAAACTTTCTGAACTAACACCATGTCAGGCAATGGAATTGCAATTGCGTACCGAAAAATTAGAAAACTTATATACTGAATTTGATAGTGTACAACAAGAGTTAGAGTTAATCTCAGAAACACCTGAAATTGAGGCAACCGAAAGAACTAATGTCGAGACGCAATATTTTTCACTGTTGGCTAAAGCTAAATTTATGCTCAATTTATTTGCTAAATCACAAGACGACTGTGAATCAAAATTAAGTCATAGTTCGGTAAGTAATCAGATAGTCAAGTTGCCCACAATTCAACTGCCAAAATTCACTGGATTGTATGACAATTGGTTGGAATTTCGCGATACCTTTTCGAGTCTCATCCACAACAATGATAACATTGATGAAATTAACAAATTTCACTACCTTAGATCGTCTTTGGAAGGGTCAGCTGCTGTTGTAATCCAGGCCATTGAATTTTCTGCACAAAATTATAAAATTGCATGGGATCTCTTATGTGAGCGATTTGATAATAAGAGATTATTAATTCAAAACCACGTCACAGCACTTTTTAATCTTGAACAAATCACACAGGAGTCCTCATCTTCACTGAAACGCATGATTGACTCAGTAAATAAAAACATTCGAGCACTAAGTTCACTAGGAGAGCCTGTTGACAGTTGGGACACGTTACTGATTCATATTATTAGTCAAAAATTGGATACTAAATCTTTCCGCGAGTGGGAAGAATGCAAGGGACGCTTCGATAAAAATGCACCAATCTTATTTAGTCAATTTAAGGATTTTTTGCGCAATAGGGCTGATTTAATCGAAACGCTAGAATTATCACACAATATTACTTTACGCCGAGGTTCCACAAACACTCAGTCTAATAAAAACAACACAAAACTTAAAGCAATGGTGTCACTAGATAATACAAACACTAGCTCATCGTCACAAAGTTGTCCTAGATGTAATGGCGATCATAATCTAAATACTTGTCCACAGTTTTTGGCCCTGAGCATCACTGAAAGATTATCCGCATTACCAAATTATAAGGTATGTTTTAACTGCTTCCGACGCGGTCACTATGCCACTACTTGCAGGAAATCGTGCTGTAAAATTTGTAAACGCAAGCATCATACGCTAATTCATTGCACCGATTTCAAACAAAAGACGTCGAGCGACAACACAGCTGATCGTAGGAATGCACGCGATAACTGCAAGGACGAGTCGATACCTACGACTAACGGTAACTCGGGCGTTACGCTGGCGGCGAATATCTCCGCGCATTCAAATACATGCACCTCGACCGACGTCCTGTTGTCAACTGCTTTAGTGAAATGTTACGATTCACATAATAAGGAATACGTCGCACGCGCACTCCTCGATTCCGGCAGCTCGTCGTGTTTAATGACCGAGAAATTATGCAAACAACTTAACTTGCCAATTGCTAAGGTGGATAGATCGATTTACGGCATAAATAACTCATTAACTCATATAGGTAAAATGTGCAGCGTTCATATTAAATCATTATCAGAGTCCTATTCATGCGAATTAAAATGTTTTGTGCTCCCAAACATAACGGATAACGTCCCAGCTAGACAGATAAATCTACGAAACATAAGTATACCTACAGACGTACATTTAGCTGATCCTAATTTTCATACTCCCGCTGAGATTGACTTGATTATAGGCGCGGATCTGTTTTGGTGTTTATTAGGATCACGAAAAATTAGTTTAGGTACTAACAAACCAATTCTTTATGAGACCAGACTCGGCTGGCTGGTTTCTGGCCCAATTAACGGCGGCTATATGATGGACAGATCAGATCCTGTTATGTGTAATTTTACCAAAGTCGACAGCTATCAAAGTTCTTCTGATTTATGCATTTTAGATGACATTCAAAACCAATTAACGCGTTTTTGGCAACTCGAGGAGGTCAGCCGTCAGTCATCAAGTTATTCTATCGAAGAACAGAATTGTGAAGATCATTTTGTCAAAAATATGACTCGCTTAGAGGATGGCCGTTTTTGTGTTAAAATACCTCTAAAGAATTCTCCTGAGGTTTTAGGCGACTCATTACAAAGAGCAAAACGCTGTTTTTTATCTATGGAACGCAGAAATATGTCCCAGCCACCTCTTGACAAAATGTACAAGGAATTTATGTCAGAGTACATATCTTTAGGCCACATGTCTGAGTCTATAATTGATAAAAATAAGATTAATTATTTTTTACCTCATCACGGCGTATTGAGAGAACACAGTTTAACTACCAAGCTACGCGTAGTATTTAATGCCAGTGCGCCTACTACTTCCGGTATGTCCCTAAATAACTTACAGATGGTAGGACCAACCGTGCAAGACGATTTACTGTCAATTTTAATCAGGTTTAGAATGTACAGATACGTATTATCAGCTGACGTGGAGAAAATGTACCGACAGGTATCTGTACATCCCTCTGACAGACACTTGCAGCAAATCATCTGGCGTGATGATATGTCAAGTCCACTTAAGGTGTATGAGTTAAACACCGTCAGTTATGGCACAGCGAGTGCCCCGTTTCTGGCAACAAGATGCCTGAAACAAATCGGCATTGAATGTAGTGACAAAGATATCTCTGAGGTTATTATTCATGACTTTTACGTAGATGACCTGCTGACTGGCGCTGACCAAATCAACCAGGCCCTTTCAATCCGCAATAAGGTTACTCAAGCTCTTGCTTCTGCTTGCATGCCATTGAGGAAGTGGAGGTCTAATGAGCCAGCCTTGTTGTTTGATAACCAAAGTCAGTCACCCTTCAACTTAAACATTGAAGATTCCGACGTTCTTAAGACTTTGGGTTTAAATTGGCAAACGCAATCGGATGAATTATGCTTTCCAATAAATATTCCTTCCCCAACTAACAACACAAAGCGGGAAATGCTTGCTATTATTGCACGGGTTTTTGACCCTCTAGGATTGTTAGCTCCGTGTGTCATCAAATTGAAAATCATGCTGCAAACACTATGGCTTAAAAAGGTAACTTGGGATGAGCCACTGCCAGCTGATATTTTAACAACATGGGCTTCACTGATAAAATCCTTTCCAACACTAAGCAATTTACGAATTCCTCGTCGTGTTCTTTGTGACTCATATGAGCGGATGGAAATGCATATATTCACCGATGCTTCGGAACAGGCCTACGGCGCTGCTATTTATATTCGCAGTATTAGTAAGAATGGTCAGGTACTTGTGCAGCTACTGATTGCCAAAAGTCGTGTCGCGCCCATCAAGCCTGTTACGATTCCACGGCTTGAGCTTTGTGCTGCTTTGGTGGGAGCGAATCTCTATGTAAAGGTAAATGACTCGCTGCGCATTCAAGCCTCGAACGTATTTTTTTGGACGGACTCCATGGTAGTACTGGGTTGGTTAAAAATGCTGCCTATTAAATTAAACACGTTTGTGCGCAATCGTGTTGCAGAAATCATTGACAAGACCCAGCCCTACACATGGAGACACGTGCCCACGAATGTCAATCCTGCAGACTTACTTTCGCGAGGAGTAGACGCAAATGATATCGAGTCATCAAATACATGGTGGTCTGGCCCTACTTTTTTATTACAGGACGAGTCGTCATGGCCTTGTATTCCAGGCACCATAAGTGATTTACCTGAGCTGAAGACAAATGTAACTCTTCACTCGAACTTTGATAGCGACAGTGCTGATAAAATAATTGATTTTGAACGGTTTTCTAACTTCGCAAGATTACAACGCACTATGTGTTACGTGCTTCGTTTTATCAATTATTGTAAGGGAAGTTTAAAGCGTTCTACACACCTTAGCAGTGACGAATTACAAAAATCATTAAACCAAATTATAATTCAATCTCAAAAGGAATCATTCCCTGAATATCGATTACTACAAACTGACAATAAACTACCTCATAAAAATCAACTTTTAAAATGGAACGTTTTCATGGATGAAAATCAGATTATGCGTGTCGGTGGTAGACTTCAAAATTCCGATTATCCCTTTGAGAAAAAGCACCCAATAATATTACAGTCCACACATCATTTTACGAAGCTTTTATTCAAATTTGAGCACATTAAGCTAATGCACGCGGGACCGCAATTATTGTTGGCTACCGTAAGAGAGACTTACTGGCCTTTAGGAGGTCGTAACTTAGCCAGACTAACATATCGACAATGCGTTCGTTGCCAACGTATGAAGGGGCAAACAGTTACCCCTCAAATGGGAAATCTCCCATCTAGTCGATTGTCCCCTGCAGATTACCCTTTCCAAAACGTAGGTGTTGACTACGCCGGCCCCATCATGTCCGCAAGTCGCCAAGGTCGTGGATGTAGACTTGTAAAGGTTTATATTGTCATTTTCGTGTGTTTTACCACTAAGGCGATACATTTAGAGTTGGTGGGTGACTTGACGAGTCAAAATTATCTAATGGCGTTGCGTCGATTTATTTCTCGTAGAGGAAAACCTTTAAACATTTACTCCGACAATGGTACCTCATTCGTAGGAGCTTATAATGAGATCTCTAATTTTTTGAAGGGCAGTTGCGATACATTGTCTGAATGTGTTGCGAGCGAAGGAATTACATTCCATTTTATACCTGCTTATGCTCCGCATTTCGGTGGTCTTTGGGAGGCAGGTGTCAAGTCGACCAAATTTCATTTAGTCCGAGTGTTGGGAAATTGTAGACTAACTTACGAAGAGCTTAACACTACGCTGGTGCAGATTGAAGCGATTCTAAACTCTCGCCCACTCACTCCTTTGTCATCGGACCCGGAAGACATGATGCCCCTCACGCCTGCTCACTTCATGATAGGAAGACCACTTACTTCCCTGCCAGTCAAGGACCTTCGTGACCACTCCAATCATCATCTCACACGGCACCAGAGAGTTGAACAACTCAGACAACATTTTTGGGAACGGTGGAACAAGGAGTATGTGTCTGAGCTCCAACAGCGAGTGAAATGGCATACCACCAAGGATTCCTTGAAGCTCAACTCTCTCGTCGTTATCAAGGATGATAACTTGCCGCCATTAAAATGGAAGCTGGGTCGTATCGTGGCGCTGTACCCGGGCAATGATGGTGTACCCAGAGTAGCAGATATCAAGACCTCAACTGGTGTTGTCCGCAGAGCGTTTTCGAAAATCTGTACTCTGATTGAAGATTTTTGTTGAAAGGCTAGCTTTCAACGGCTGGGGGCATGTTGGAGACCTATTTATTTAGTTTTAATATTAATTCAATATTATCTATTAGTAGCTACTAACGCCTACCTAAATTTACATAGCAACGTTTTTATATTGTCACACCTATGTATCTTCCACATATTCCACTAATCTGTCACATTATTACACACGTACTGATTGTAACTGGTCTACGAGTTTTTATTTTTTATTCCTGAATCCTGTAAAAATCAGTCAAGATTTACAACACACTTCTTATCTCGATTCCATTGAAAGCAACATTATGTAGAAACAAAAATGAATCAAGAAAGTACAGTAAAAGACCGAGAAAAAAGAAATAATGACGTCGGATCAGGTGGAACGGTTGAACAACATCTGTATCAAGGTGAAGGTCGATTGATTTCATTCATCTATTTTTTATGTTGCCTACTTGCCGATTTGACGTTTCGGGCGCTGTTTTTAACACTTTTTTTTTCTTTTTCTATTTTTATGTTGGTGATTAACGTATCTACTGGGACACCTAAAAAGCTAACAATGCCTGCTTTGGTTGCTGATTCTAGTCCCACCGCGGGGAAATAATTTTAATGGTGTATTTTTATACCAAACCAGCTCTCGTTTGAAACGTGGTAATTTTATTTTATCGTTGGGAAAAATATTAAAATTAAAAAAAAAATCTGTCTTGCGATTCTCTGTACCTAAATTTCTTCACGTCATAAAAAGCAAAAGGTCCAATGCAATTATTTTCCTTAGATAGTTATTTACTAACTACAAAATCATATTTTTACCTATTTAATTCTTAAGAAAAATACCATATGTGGGAAATATAATAAAATAATCCTTTTACTACCCCGTGTGCAACGGCCATCATTTAAGCAACTATCCCCTCAGTATTGGGTGCTCAGTTTTTATCGTTTCCGATGACAACTGGATTGATTCCCCATACGAAGACCAGAGTCGTAGCTCGGATAGGACAGCCAGTTTTATAAGACAGTGAAGACAGCCTCTAAAAGGTCAGAAAGCTTCTACTGTTTATGTCAACAGAAGTGTCCTTCACTATCTTTAACTGCAAAGTGCGATGAAAACATTAAAACTTTAATATGTCGGGAAACCTTCATCAATACGTTACCTGCAAAACTCATTCAGAAAACTGAGGTACACTGTATTTTAGATGATGATGATCCATCCGACCGATTTCGGTCATGGGGATCACTCCGACTCCTAGCTGTCTTGGCGGCGCTAGTGTGCCCGAAGATGGCTTACGTAGCCGATCTTCGCGGCAAACCTCCTCTCACATTGAGGGCATCTGAGCACCCCGCCAACATAGCTATAGTGAATGGCGGCAGATGGACGAACGGACCAACATTTTGGTTTTTTTACGAAAAAATACTTTGATCTAATGTTTAATCGACAACACATCAGATTTTACATTTAAAAAAAAAAGCTTGAAGTACCATCCTCTTTAATGATAATAATATATCGACAGTTCCATATAATTTTTGTCTATATTTAAGCTGGCTGTTTTATACAACCTATGACATAGGCCTAGAGATCGGCGTCGGCGAACTATTAGGTGCTTTTTATTGGACCCCGAATATAAATTGTCCTATCAATAGGAAAGATTTCTTGGTGATCTGTCGTTTCCCTTTGTTTACGGGGTATTTGACCACTCGTGTTCGTACGAGTTGGGGTCTTATGGGAGAATTATTGGGTATTAATCTCTTTAATGGTCAAGTTTTAGATTGACTTTTGTT